CTCATTATTTACGCATTCGCCCGCATTACTTCCGCGATATAGAAAAAGTTGGGATAAACACGAGGCCAGGTGTAGGGTTTTGCAACATTTTCCTACGTCTAGCCCCATGTACTGATTGTTGGCCCTACAACCAACTCTTTTAACCATGCTTTCGGCTGGACTAAAACAGTGGCCCGGCATTTGGCCCATGTGCACTGTGTCTGACCTCACATAAGATTCATGGTCCAACTCTAGGTTTAACGTTTACCTACTTGATCCAACAAAATTGTTGATTAGGAAGTCTAGAGCTGATCAGCTCTAACCTCTTGACGTGAACCAGTGGGTCATGGGAAAATTTTCGCACTCAAACGCGGAGCAAAATGATGGGATATACAACACCACTCCATACCTCTCCTGGTGTTTGACCCTCTTTTTGAGTTTTTCCCGTGTGTAACTAGTTGCGAAAAATTATAGGCTACCAGTCTCCCTTACTCGTAATTTTGGTGTTGGATGTTGAACTTAACGTTTCTTTATGTTCACACTGTTTCAGATAGCCTATTCATACTTCACTGAACTCACGTCTCGAAACACCAACCTGGTGGTTACAACTTCAAAGCAGAGGACGAAATTAATAATTATGCCTTCACAATATCTCCAGGGAAATTTTGGTGAGAATAGTAAATCCACTAGCAAACGAGTGTTCTTCAGGTATTTGTCACTCATCCTTCATAGACACCTGGTTGGTTGCCGTTACAACTTCCTGTGTCTTGCCTTAGTCTAACCTAATACGAACCTGTAACCTATTAGTACTGATCAGATGTCGTACCTAATGTCAGTTGTCTGCGTTTATTATGAACTATTCGGTTGTTTACCTCTACCAAAGATGTATATGTAAAGGGTTATTTGGTAGAACTGTAGAGTTTTTCTGTGCTTTAGCGACCACCAAAGAATCTTGAGGTAAAAAACCAAGTTGAAGGTGACTGCGGTTACTCTAGAAACCTTTGGACTACTGCAAGTTAGCACTTTTTATCGATAACTTTATGAACAATAATGATAATAATTTCGAACGGATCGAAAGGAATTATTTTTCATATAAGCTTCTCCCACTATTTAATAACTAAGGTTTTTTCATGTACTAACACTTTTTATAACGGGGAAAAATTATAGACAAGAATTCTCCTATGAAGTATGGTTCAGTATAATATTGCATACCGCTAGACCTGACTCTATCAGTACCGCCGCTGAAAAGAGGTCCTACTCGCAGTTTGTTTGATGCTTTTTCGGCTTGTTTTTCAAGTTTTTTACTTCAATATCTATTAATCCTTTTCTGATATCCAATGTCACGAACCTATTTTCTTTTTTAAATCCTTAAACTAATTCTTAACTATTCCTATGAGGTGCATACAAATAATTTAGAGAAAATAAGAGATCATCTAAAGGCTTATTTACGTCCTTATCACCTCAGGTGGTTTGATGTTCCTTACATGGGTGAATATCTTAATTTTGTCTACTTTTACTTTATGCAGAAAAAAATCGAAGACCTAGATAAGTTCCTAAACGTCAAAAACCCGTATGTACTGTAATCTGTCGTTTCTCGGTTAAAAACTTGAAAGAAACAACTGCTTCCTTATTGAGGGGGGGGATCAAAGTCACTTGGCGGTCGCTCAGGAACGACAGTTCTGCCGGTTATTTTTTTAATGTGGTAGAATAGCAAATGGCGATTCATACCTGTGGTCATCAAAGTGTTTTGGTATCGTTAGCCCATACTTTCATATTATTTTGGTTACGGCATGCGTATGAAGAGTTTATCAATAGACAGATCATCGTTAATATCAACATAGGATCAGAAATTACTGCACAACGCTCTAATTTGCCACGTATGTCAGTGCGTCAAGTAAGAAAGCAATCAGAGAGATGAAACTAAGAGGAATCAATTGAAAGTAGTAAATAAGGTGGAGGTATGAAATAATGCTGAATTCAGCATAGCGATTAACATCAGGATATTGTATAGATACATCTGCGCCACTCACATCGATTCTGAGTCATATCAACTAGTTTCCAACCATTGGTTTCTATTGTCGCGTGGATCTCAACCGGCTGGTCTCCATCTCTCGATATGACCCAGACCAACAGTTAAAGACTTCATGCAATACCATTTTCTAGTCTTCACCCCCTTCTAAGGCTTTGTCCGGCCTCCACTTAATTCAGTTAAAATCGAGGAATGGGGCTAACGGCGACTAGGTATGCGTAGCACGTGTCCCAACCATCTCAGCCAATGGAGGTTCACGACCACCTCAACTAACTTTCCTCTTCTCCCTAGAATTATGTATCTGACTTCTGCATTTCTCACATGGTGACACGAGAACACACGAGCAGTGCTACGAAGGTAGCGGTGGTCATTCCCTCTAGCTTTAATGGCCATGTTTCCTAGCTACATATTAGATTAGAGCAGAGTGCAGCGCAGTACACTTGACCCTTAATAAATAGTGGGGTATCTCGGCGGCACCAGAGAAGGCGTAGTTTAAAAAAGTCCGTCTACCCTTGTGTATCCACGCAGAGATTTCGTCGGACAGTGACACACTAGGGCTAGTCTGACTTCCCAGGTAAGTGGTGTTCATCGCACTGATTCACTTCACTTCCGATGCTTAGCTGGTACACCACTGAAGAACAGTCCTGGAGCAATAATTTGCATTCAGATGGTGAGAAACGCATCTAAAATCCAAACTACCACTCATTACGCCCACAAGACTGCACTTTTCCAGTGTTCATTAAACATAACTATCACAGAATATTGTACTTACTCAGTGCCCATTTCAGTGAGAGGCACTGCCATACGACCTGCTGGTCAACGAGTTCAAATGGCACCTTAATCCCAACAAATACACCCAGTGTCGGGAGTCGGCAAGTGTGCCTGTGTTTCAAAACCTGACGGAGTGATTATCTGGTTGATACACCCACGATTAGGTCTAAAACCTGCCTGGTTTCCCCGGGTTCACTGTTCCCGAGTTCAACTCAGACGTCTAATGGTTATAAAACCTCGAATCTTGAACATCACGTTCGTCAGGCTGATTCCCCTATGGTTATCACAAAAAGGCTTCTCTTCTGTTCTTGAGAACTCGTATATTCAATGCTTGAGACCAGTTAGATGGGATCATATCTGACTCCTACATACTAGTTAACTTGACCGGTAACTTCCCAACAAACCGAACATGTGTTAGAAAAAGTTTTCAACAACCTGCTTCTTTGGTCTGACCATCCACATAACTTAATTCACCACTCTTAAACTACGCGCAAAGACCTCACTTTCTATAAGTAACTGGTAACGAGTGTAAAAAGTTGATCAGTTGACACATATTCCTTCCTACTCTTTGGTATTTTTATCATTATTATTGTAATTATATGACTTACCTGTTCAGTAACAGTCTATTCTAACTCTCAATTCTAGTGAGTGCAGTTATTCAAACTTGCGTAATCATTTTTCATCCTTATAATATCTTTTTTAGAAGCTAATAGTTTCTCACAAACTGGACTGTCTCCGTCAGGTCAATTTTTTATATTGCGTTTTTAAAAGAAACCTACATTATTAGCTTCAAGTCAGTTATATGGAGTTAACTGGAAAGAAGTGCTTGTGCATTTGATTTGTTTCGCAGATATTCTAGTAGGAATTTTCTGGCATCGACAGGAAAAGTTACTGATTTCAATAAATAAGTTATTAGTAAACGGATTTCTTAATGAGACTTTCTGAGATAGTTGTGATTCGACAAACAAATGTTATTGTTACTGGGTGATAATTGGAGGTCAGTAGAGTTCTGGAACCTCCAGTTCGAACCCTCTTGTGATCTGGGTTATATCAAGGTAATTATGTATAACAAATTGTGTTCAAAACAATCCAGTAAATAGTGCTTTTCTACTGTTTTCTATATCTAATAGATCAGTTGAAGCAATGCGTAACAAACTGTGTTCCATGTCAAAATCTAAAGTGATTGTGGATAGTGTACATGGTTGTTCTTCATGTAGTCACATTTGGCTGAGAGGTTATGTCTGGCACTTCAGTTGATGTTTGCTGTGTCACTTCTAGGCTACTACGTCTTACAATATGATATATTTCCTTTTTAAACAAGTAATTACTTCTATTATACAGGATGCCCTTACGTGGTTTTAACTGAAGGACCTATATTTGATCGGTTTTCGTCTATCAATAATCGGACTTTACTGTTGCGTGAGTTAATTTTCTATTTTGTAAATAATATAATCATGTGCTTTTCTGGGCTCTTAAAAAGTATTATGTGTCACCTCGGTATAGATTTCACAGGTCAGCGCGCTTACTAAATTACATTAGCGTAGTTTATGATTCTGAAAAGACTATTGTGTTTACATTTTACTGTCGTTGCAATTTAGATTGTCCTCTTATAAATGTTTTAATGCGTGCTAACTATCACTACAGTGGAGCTATGCTTTGCTCTTATAATGGGATTTGAACGGGTTTACTGCAGTGTAGAGAAATTTCTTCTAGACAATATTTTTGAATGTTTCATAAACGTATTTTTATATATGACAACAGGTTAAAATCGTTCGGTTTATGTTAATAAATTATTCATTAGAACGTCTAAATTAAAAAAAAACCAGAATAACTTATTCAACGACGTTTCATTTTGAATTGATACTCTTCTCGAATACCCATCTTTCACTACAAGTTTCTGCTAATGCTTAGTTTGTCAGTAGTAAATGAATTAGTTGAGCATACAAATCACTCCCTTCTCTGTTGAGTTGCATCACTCTTGCTATACTTGTATAAAAAAGTTGGTTTAGGTTTGATTGGACTTAACCCCATGTAGCGCTGATAAGGTGTCTGAATGACCTTCAAAAGATGCATATATGATGCCACAGTATGTTTTTCTTTACTTTATGACAATAACATTTATTTTTGGTGGGCAGATGATATGGGGGAATGACCAAAGAAAGATCAAGGATGTTTGAATTGAGTTATGAGTCCATGAATTTATTGACTATTTTGGTTTCAGCTGCATGGGAGAGCTGTATGCTTTTTGGATTGAACTAATAAAGCTGGAAAAATCAGATGTTAGTACACTCACTTCAGAGTTGAACACAGCAGTACAAATGAATCTATTCTTTCGCTTGATGTCAGTGAACTAGCAAGTGAATATTGGCACTCAGAAATTTGATTTAATGGTTGAGATGAAGATAAGATGTAGGTTCATATTCGCCATTGTGACTCATTTTGAAACATATCACAAACAGTTTTAACCGCCGATTTGGGTTGTATCTTGAACATCAACTAAAAAGCTGACATTTCCTTACACAGCTCAGACCAACAGTCGAAGGCTTCAAGATTTAGTTTAGTCACCAATAGCTTTTCCCGAACAGATCCACTACAGCCAACAGCACACATTGATCAACAGTAATTCGGTACACGTAACACATGTCCCAGTTACTTCCGTCGATGATGATTCACAGCCATATCAACTGACTACCTTTTATTTAAGACTGCACCTAATCACCTTTTCACCCGCGTGTTGGTTACATAGCACTTAGCTGATGCTGCACATCCAACAAAAGTTGAATACCTGAAACCTTTCATTTCTACTCGACTTCGATAGTTGTGTTGCATAGTCATGTGGTGTGCACAAGGAAAAAACTTCGGTCTTGTTGTTTTCCTGTTGAAATTCCGTCGACCACATTTCAGGATTGATCCAACCACTCACAAAAGTGATGCAGTTAACGTACTTAACCATTTCACTCCTTTTTTCAGTGATAACACACATCAGTTGTCATGCATTAGGCGCAAGAGCATCGAGTATAAAGTCAGTAGTAGGGAATTTCTTTTCAGAGATAAACACTGCAATAAGATTTCCCACTCAGCGGAGTCAACTACCAACTTCAGGTCACATATTACTCTTAGCACCAAGTGCTGCTAATTATGCCTTTGTCTCAAGACTAAGACCTGGGGAAATGCGAAAGTTCCATCAGTACCTGTTCGCTGTAGTCAACAACTTACCTTGTTCTCTCGAGTTCGCTGTCACTCAGGTCAGGCTGGGCGTTGCATAAAATGAACCCGAAGATCTTAGATATGATCTAATTGACCTGCCTTCTTTTGTCATATGAAGACTTCTCTCCTTTCCTATCAACTGGAGTTATTCATGATTTAAACCAGTCTGATTCCCATACAGTAGCTAGTACCTCCATTACTCCACTCATTAATTTCATACCTCCATCGATGAAAGCTTCTGGTGGCAATTCTTCAGCTTCTGCTGACTCGCATTGTTTCAGCTTCAAAATAACCTTCTCAACTTCGAGGATAGTTGGACCACTGACATCAGCGTCGAATTTACGTCTGAGCTTGAGACAAGGAAACCGAAGCGTGGTTGTTCTTCAGTTTTCCATCCAACGTTTCAGTCACCTGTATTGAGACGATATCGGAGAGCCTTCATTTTTGATGATCTCACTAACCATAGTCTCCTTCTATTCAGTTTACTTCATGAGCCTAAGTGAAGCGGTTTGCAGATACCCCATACTGTTAATGACCAAACTTCGGTTCTGCATGCATGTCTTAGAAGAATAGCACATTCATGGCTTGAAATCTTAAAGTTTCTAAAAGAGACGTCTGATGTCTCAGCCGGTGTAGGGTTCGGATGTTGAAAAATCCAATGCGAAATTGGCAGCCTGGTTTTGAGAGATCAAAAATGGTGTTTTTTCTGGCTCATCGTTAAGAACGATTGCAGAGTGGGAGTTGAGGAAACTATAAAGGGTTTACTGCTGTTTTCAAAAAGTAAAGGCAAGGAAGGAGATAAAGATAAGGAAGGTAGGTCATGCTTAGTTGGGTTTTGTATGCTGTCGAAAGTGTGGAGGTGGATGATACTTCACGACTTTCTATATCATGAAAGTTATTTCTGCAAGGTATCTAGAAGAGAAAAAGAATTCGTTTTGCGTGACCGCAGTGCCTCTAACTCATTTGTTTTAGGCGTATCATACTCGACTCTTTTCGAAGTCTTAGATTTGAGTCTGTTTGTTTTGTAACCAGTGAGAAAGATAGTCCCATCAGCACCAAAGGGTGGAGGGTAACTTACTTTTTTCGTGCCCAATAGTTTCTGATCCCTCATTCCCATTGGGCGGGCCACAGCAACACGAACTGCTGGTCATACGGGGATGGGGATGCATCTTACAACTGTCTCACTCCTTCCAGTCATCAGTACGACATAGCTCTCAAATGCCGCATCCTGGTGTAGGTATTTACGCTATGATGGTAACTGTTTTTAGTCCTACCACCAACCAGTAAACGTTTTTGGCATGGTAGGGTCGAAGAGAACAATTTCTTCAACCAGTGAAGCTTGTCAAGTTATTTTCCTATGCAAGTTCTCCCACCACGTCAAGGTTGTAGTTGTAGTGAAACTATGGTAGCTATAACAACTGTCATAAATGGAAAGATGATACGTTGACAAATAAATAACATGATAATGTTCACTAGCAGTAAGGCATCTGTGGGTTACTGTAAAAGCCTCAGTATAATCGTAACTGACCCTCAGAAAAAGGTTTAGAAGGGTCACTGGGTCTCAGCAACTTCTTGCTAATAGATGAGCGCATGTAGATATCTTCCTGTAGGCTTTAAGGAATGAGGATCTGAAGTAGCTCGAATGTTGACTTACAAAAGGCCTACACAATGAACTTGTGCATCGATCGGCCGCAGACACTAAACATCTGGAAGAGAGAGCGATGGTCGGTGATAGTGCCGGATTATTTCGAATTATTAAGGGAATGACGTGAAAATGTTATCAGTTGGATAGACTGCTGTGAACAAAGATGGCTCTGTGATTCAACCGCGATGGTCGAGCTCGTTCATCAAAATGACCCAGTGAGCTTCACTGGTCGGAACGCTTGTTCCCTCGAGGTCCCACCATGCCTCAAAGGTCTATTAGATAGTGGTAAGACAAAATGCAGTTACCGTCGTACCGTAAATTACTACACTATGATGGTGGTCTGAGGGCGAAGTTATACTGCTGCTAGCTGGATGGGGTGTGACGGCAGTAAGGCGTTCCACACCGATGACCAGCAGTGCCACGCTGGTTCTGCCTTCTCTATGGAAACGGCGGGGGCGGAGAGGTTAGAAAAGTCGGCCACAAAAATAGCGTATGTCCCCATGTGGCATCCCGACACCTGACACAAAGGTTCATAGTCGTACTCAAAAGCAAAATACCAAGATCTCAAACCTGCAAAAAGGCTATCTGACAGGCAGATGTCCCACGGTTTCTGTGGTCACATAGTATGCCGTTTTTCAGGCACATCAAGAAGAACTGGCCTTCCAGAAAGTGGGCAGCTGGGAAGTGGTGACCAGTACGCTTCCTGTAATACACAATACCCAATCAAACATGACCTTTCCCGCTCAACTCTGTCTCCTGCTTGGCCTTTGCCCCTCAATAATAATATTAAACCCCTTACCCGTTCCCCAACCTCTCACTCTGAGACGATTGACAACTATGAGAGCGATCGAGACCTCGTTCTTATTTTCTTAAGACTCCACCATCAATTTCATGTAGGATCCTTCAACGTCCGAGTTCTATGCCAAATTGGACAGTAAGTAAGGATTACTCGACAGAACTCTGGAATGTTGAGGCATGGATGTATGCTGTGTTTGTGAGACAGGTATTCAGACAGGACCGGAGTGTGATTATTAAATTGACCTCAGCTGACCATAGTAGTGAATCTTCAAAGTTTACCTTACGAGTATCCGGCGACCCAATGGCAATGGCTAGGTGTGGTGGACTCGGTGGTGTAGGTGTAGCATTGAGGTGTAGAGCAGAAAGCGCCCTCATCGATTGGACATGAGTCAACAGGCGTGTGTGTATATGCTGTTCGACCGTATAGATCTGTAAGAACTGGGAATGTTCGTGAGACTAGGTGATGCCTATTAATAATCTCGGCGTAGGCACTCGCCGACTGCAGTTTGGATGATGGAGATAATGAATTCTATGAGAGTCTGTCAAGTTTGCTGCAGAAAGCAAACCGTAGAGATATAGTTATGATGGTGGGTGACTTTAAGGCTTTAGGTAGGAAGTCTGAGCTGAGGCAATCGGAGAAGCATACTGGTGGTATGTACGGAATTTCATGCCAACGAACCGACAAGGTTGATCTTGTGTTTGCAGTTTGTTCTGACGATCAGTTGTTTGGGGCGAGAACTGATTTGAGGTATAAGGAGAGATAGTGTCTCATATGGCGTCTGCCGACATTGAACTAACGATGGACGTAGATGATCACATTGTTGTAAGCGGTCTATCGTTGAAGGATTGACGATCTTTGTGGAGTACTTGTTTGGAATACGATGACGCGTTAGTACGGACTCGTGTATGTCTAGGCCTTACCGGTCACGGGAAACGGTGGGTAGTGAGGCCTATCTATGCTGGATTGGAAGATAGGGATGTCAAGTATTTATATAGGGAGGAGATAGCTAAGGATTTATCTGAGAATGATAGCAATGGTCATGCTGAGGGGAGACCTGAGGTGACATTGTCTGCTGTAGAAACAGTGGTAAAGACAGTTGGTAACCTACACTGGAAGGTAATAAAATGTGATTGGATTTTCATAGTGTTGTCCGAAATGATTGATGTGGGAATGCTGATTGGAGCAGGCTGTGACTGTGATGAGGAGTGAAAGCAACCTTAATTTAAAGTGAACAAGAGTCTTGGCGTAGATTGAGAGTAATGGTGGGTGATGAGAGCGAGAGAGATGGAGAAGGCCTCATTGTTGTGTAACACCTGGAAACTGTTTATGCTTACTAAGGATGCTGGTAAGAAGAGGACGATGGAGAGTGAAAGCATCACGGGAGAGGATGGGATGCTCATGGTGACTCAGTACATGTGACTAGAAGGTTAGCGAGAACACTTTGAAGCACAGTTCAACTGACTCCCAGAAATGCTTCAGTTGTCCATCATTCAGCCTGAACCTGAATGGAACATGGATGTTGGTCTCCGACTCTCGTGGAAGTTGAGGAAATTGTATTGAATGTGAAACGATGCAAATGAGCAGGACGTGACGTTTTTGTAGTCGATGGAGTGAGGAAATTGTTGCTTAAAGTGACGAAGTTGTTGGCTAGTGTATGGAAGTGATGGGTAGTGTCGTCAGACTGGTATACTTCATAGCCTATGCGAAGGAATAGAGGTTTTGTTGTGACAAGGATGTAGGTTAAATTCGTTAGACTAATATTGTGTGCATAATTCTTGAGTTCATAGTTCTGGACACCTAACTGGAGTGGGAATACAGGGAACTGGAGAAAATGAGTCAGGTATGAGACTGAGCTGGATGAGGATGCATGGATCAGATCTTCACTATATGACAGGTTCTGGAACAGAGGTATACTTACTTACCGGTGGCTGACACTCGCCATATTCCTTGACCTACGGGAGGCATTTAACTTTGTCGATCTTGAGTGTTGTGACAGTGTTTGTCTGTGAACGTAGTACCGAACAAGTATACAACGTTAGTTAACGCTCAATCATTATCTTACCTGAAACCAGTCTGCTAAACCAAACTTAAGTGTCCACTGTTACTCACGGCTTACTTGCCGTGCCATGTTAGGAGACGTTGGAAGTGGGTTGAAGGTGACGAAACTTGGACATGGTATCAGTCGATGAAAGTCCCTGTCTGTTTATCTGAGAGGTATGGCGATATGTAGACCGCCTGGCTGGTGTCGTCGTGACGATAGTAATCATTGGTTGAGAATTGTTGGTGGAATGGCTTAAAATCGGTCACTGTGGGGCGGATGTATACAGTCGACGTCTTCTCAAGCTTGAATATTTTCACTAACTTTTATTTTGGAGCTGTTGATTTTGTCGTACAAACTTGTTTGCTTTAATATCACTCTTTATTCTATCCAGTTGTTTTTTGTGTAATACTGTGAAGTGTGACAACTGGAGCCGATGAAGTTATATATGAGGTTCTATGTTGATTTTGTCTGTCAGTGGTTCAACCACTCTTAGGACAATTAGGTCGATGGGCATGGCGCTTCGAGCGACGGTTCAGTGTCTGTCCACCTGGTTTCTGATTGACCTAGCTACTTAACATTGGTCTGTACAACTAATGTTCATTACTTCAGGGACCCAACCTTAAACCAAGGCATCAAGCGCTTAAACGCCGCATTTGTTGGATTTTTTGTGTGCGGTTATTGCTTGTGATGGTTTTCAGGGATTTGCAGACTCCTATGAAGGGTCTAGGAGGTAATGAAGGTAATGGAGTTTCAAGAAAGGTATGGAATCTGATTATGATAATGATAGAGGAATGAGTTTGACAAACATGGTGTTAGTACTGAAGATGTCACCAAGCCTGTTGCTGAAAGATTCACGATAAAATATCAAAGCTCAGTGAACACCAAAACACCATCATTCTCATGGTGAGCTACAAATGTTTCCCATGATTTCAAAAGGCTTCAGGTATTTAACCACCCTTACCCTCGTAATACTGGCTGTAGTCGAACCATCACGTTGGTTATGTGGAGCTTTAGGTGAAGGAGGTAAGTCAGTCGGGAGGGTTGTGCATCTTCACCGACTTAGGTTGTTGGGGGCATTTTCTACGTATGTGTAGTGCTAAGCAGTGGGTCACTGGTTCGAACACTCCTCCACCTACCAAGGTTAGGGCAGCCAGGTAGTATCATAAGTCCTCACAATAGGTGTGGCTTATTGCATACTGCACGAATGTGCTTAAGGTTATTGAGTGGATTTCGATTCGTAATGCCGATCTACTCTGATGCACAATGTTAGCTGAGGTAGATTTAAGTTTAAAGACAGACAGACTAAAGCGTGGCATCAATCCATGAAGTATTTTTCTTTTAGTCCAAGGCATGTAGTGATACATAAACTTCTCGTTTATGGACTAATTGACAGTGAAATCAGTGGTTGAAAACTCTTACACGGCTGACGATCGATAACCCTGATGAAGATGCATCCATGTATTACCTTAATCTTCGTACCGAGTTTCATCATTGTATTATCCCTTTTTCCTCTCTTTTACGACTTTCTGCTGCTGCTGATTACCTTTTACCTTATTTTATGATCTCTCGTTTTCGCGCCTTCTTCGTTGATGTGCTAATATGAAGTGTTGCAACTTGGGTCGTCGGAATTTCTAATAATCTTCGGTATGACTCTGTCTTGGGTTTTCTGTGGATTTTGTATTTTCATATCGAATTTACTGTTTTTTGTAGCGGTTCTTCTTAAAATTTGAAGACAGAATTCATTTTTTATTTTGGTTAGATATTTTCACTGTTTATTACTCTCCATTTCTCTCACTAGAGTATCTGTGTTCAGAGGTGTTGGCTATCAGACAAAGTCCTACAATCAAAACAATCAATAGCAAAGCCAATGGGAAGCATTCTGCGGATTATGAGGCATCTGAAGATAAACTGGAAATGCTTGCTTGTATGCATAGAGCGTTTGAGGCTCTTGGTTTAGCGATCCCCCCTGATAATACTCCTTCAGCTGTAATATACTCTATTCTTCAGAAGGGTGTAAGTGATTTATCAGTTGGTCCACCAAATGTGTTTTCGATTCTTCATTCATTTCGCTGTAGGAGTTATAGTAAGGGACCGCAAAAGGATAAATATAAAGCTGCTATTAGCGTTATAAGGCGGTAGTAATGTAAGTTAAAGTAAAACTAAGACTGTAGTCATAACTAAACCTAAAGGCTGATGGTTTGAATAATGCAGCCTTAGTCATCATATCCCCCAAACGTCCTGATATGCGTTTGTGGCATCTGTCAGAGAAGTTCTGTTCACTGCCTTCACGTGGCCGGGGTGTTTCTATAGAAGTAAAATGGCTAAAGGGGAATGTCTGGTGAATATTGAGGGTCCACCAGAGAGAGTTGGTAAACTCTGACTCCGAACCAATGGTGCTCATGGGCTCCAGGTTCCAGATAGAATTAATGGCGTATGAACCTATTTTGGCCGCCGGCAACCTTGGGAGTGGATCTGATGTTGCTCCACTGCCTTGTGGATTAGACTCTAAGTCAAAAGCTCTGGAAGTAGTCCCCTAAGACAACCACCTGCTCCTGTCTGGGCACCTGGGTAGTATCCCAGCCCTCACACAAAATATGAATTTACAGTATAAACTGTAGATTTCGCAGCAATTAACCATCTTTCCTGCGAATATTCAGGCTCCCTACACTACGAACTCTTTAACCGATCGATCAATTTCTTTATATATTGTTTTTGTTGTTTTTACATATGAAGTGTATTTTTTTATTATCATTTTCGCTTTTGTCTTTATCGTCACTTCTCTCAGCTGCTCTCTACTGCTTGGACTTCTGGTCTGTCTGAACTGTTTTGAGTCGCTGAACAGTTGCTACCATAAAGCTGTCGTCCAATGCGATATCTGACAGAGCTATCCTGAGACTATGTGTGCCATTTAAGTTCACCGCCTTCAGCGTTCATACCCTGATACAGATCAGACAACAGGTGGGTTTGGTTAGAACTCTGGAAAGCCTCTCTATTGATGTATGATGCATCTTAGAGACCTGCGTACGCAACGACCGCGAACAGTGGTGGGCAGCGAAGGCTAAAGAGATGGAAAAGGCAGTGGCGATTAATAACAGTAGACAGTTATTTAAACTTATTAAGGAAACTGGGGAGAAAAGGTCAACAACGGTTAGTGAGGCTATAGAGGAGAAGGACGGGTCTGCGATTCACTCGCAGAAGAGACGACTGAAACGATGGGCAGGACACTTCGATGAACAGTCCAACTGGGCTCCAGCCACCATTCCGTTGCCCGCTATCCAGTCGGATCCTGAATAGGACATTGATATAGGCCCCCAACACTAAGAGAAGTCGAGAAAGCAGTAGGTAACCTGAAACGAGGACGGTCGGCAGGACCAGATGAACTAACTCCAGAAGGATACAAGTAGAGTGCTCTTAGTCAGGTTAACGGAAGTGTTAACCAGTACATGGAATCAAATACATCCCCTCTAACTGGTCTAAATCACTGCTTATTCTAGTCTTCAAGAAAGGCGAGAATTCCTCTTATGATAACCACAGAGGGATCAACCTGACAAACAGTGTCCAAGATCCTAGCTTCTATAATTCTCTGACGCCTGAGTGGAGCTCGTAAACAGCAAGCCCGAGAAAACCAGCAGGCAGGCTTTAGACCCGGTCACGGGTGTATTGACCAAATATTCACACTGCGCCAGGTTCTGGAACATGGACACGCTTACAGACGCCCGACAATAGCTGTATTTCTCGACCTGAAGGTGACCGCATTTGACTCCATTGATCGAGAAGTCTTATGGCAATGTCTCTCACTGAAAGGTGTTCCGAATAAGTACATCACCCTATTGAAAGCTGTCTACTCGAACCCTTGTGTGCGTGTTAGAGCCTATGGTGAGATGTCGAGGGAGCTATGCTCATCGAGTGGTGTCCGTCAAGGATGCCCACTGTCTCTATTCTTATTCAATTTCATCATAGATATTCTGATGGAGGTTTCCCTCTCGTCACCAGGTTACATAGACGTTGACCTAATCGGTGGAGAATTTTCGTTAGACCTAGAATATGCAGATGACATAGTCCTGTTAAATGAAGACGCTGACAAGATGCAAAGTCTTCTGAACACTTTGAGTGTGAATTTGAGAGTGTTTGGGATGCGTTTCTCACCACGGAAATGCAAATTGTTGCTCCAGAATTGGTCTTCAGTGGTGCCTCATCGGGGTTAACAATAGAGAGTGTAGTGATTGAGTGTGTCGACCACCTATGGCGCCGCCGTGATATTCGATTGCCTATTAAGGATCATGTGTACTGCACAGCAGTCCGCTCTGTTCTGCTGTATGGCTGTGAAACATGGCCATTCAAGGTGGTAGACATGAGAAGGCTTAAAGTGTTTGACCACCATTGCCTTCGTAGTATAAGCCGTATTCCGTGATGTCACCACGTGAGTAACACAGACGTCAGGTGTAAAGTTTTAGGGAGTAGAGGTAAATCAGTTGACAAGGTTATGAACCTTCACCGACTGAGATGGTTGGGACACGTATTATGTATGCCTAGTTGCCGATTGTCTCGTCACACAATGTTGGTTGAAGTAGGTCCAAACTCGAAAAAGGTCTAAGTTTCAGACTAAAATATGACATCAATGTATAAAGTCTTTTACTGTTGGTTTGAGCCATGTGGGGCGATGCAGACTAGGTGGTTGGGGTCCGCGGGACAAGAAGAACCAGTGGTTGGAGACTGACTCTAGGTGGTATGGCTTAGAACCGATGTCAGTGGCGCAGATGTATACACACACATTATCCTCCGCTATACCGAATCTCACCATTTTCTCATCCTTCCTTTCTCTCTTTTAGTACCTCATATTTCCTTTGACTGAATTTTCTTTTCTTCATCTTGCACTTCACTGCCTTTTTACTTGATATACTGAGTGATATGAGGTGTAGCAACTCGGACCATTACGTAGTAATGTCTAGTCCTATGTTGATGATGATGCTTGTGAACATTGACTGACTGATATGGCTTGAACATGTGTAGCGTGCGTATGTGAAGCCACCGTTTGTATCGGCTTAAAATGTTAGGAGAAGTAGAAATGGGTTGTAAATAGTCTGAAAGTGGCGTGATAAAGATACGGAATCAGTTCATGAAGTCTCTAACTGTTGATGTGAGCCATATGGGTAGGTATAGACTGCTTAATTTGGTTCATAGGTCTCAATGTATTCAGTTCGTGATATCCTCATAGCTGTGAATATCTGTACTAACCTTCATTCTTCAAATTCTTTCTCTTCCTATACACTTGTGTTTTCTTTGCAATGAGTCTTTTTCCACATGTATGCTGCAGTGACGTGTGGAAACCTGAACCGAAGTGCTTTTTGTGAGAATTCTGACGTTGAGGTTAAGCAATTCGACCCAATATAGCATTCGGAGATTACAAGTATCAAATAACAACAACTGTGATACCTGTTGCATAAGAGGTGGATGTCGTGTCCCAGTGACCTAGTGGGTAATGCTTTAGTGTTTGAAGCGATGGACACTGAGTTCGAGGCTCACTGGGAACAAGATCACTTACTTAGGTGCATGTGGATTCACCTGAGGAGTCCCAAATAGGGCGAGGCACACATCCTGGATTCTACTGTCAGCTGCCGCCAAGTAGACTTCAACACCAGTGTGTTGTTTGTATGTTTCAGAGAATGTGTTCGGGATATTTATGATACGTTTCAATATATCTGTTGCGTTTGACCGCAGGTTAAATGAAGGAAGAGTGTAGTTTTTTTGAAGGGAAACATGCCCTGTAAGTGTACACAACTGAGAATTTTCATATACACACTGAATTTACGAACATAAGGTGAGAAATCATCGCACGTATCCTTTCACAACTTGAAACAGTTACACATACTGAGTAATTATGAATGTTCCGTATATGTTTTGCTGAAAATCGGGATGGACAAAATAACAGTGATACACTGATATATTCAGTGGATCCCAGCTCGCAAAGGATTATACAATCTTTCTTTCCACTATCCAATTCGGCCAATCCCACTTTATTAACATCTTCAGGCTATGAGTCACAAGTTATATCAACATGTATATGATAAATGAATTTTATGATTTACTTCAAAAGAGAATCCCTTGTTTCAGTGTACGAGCAGCTGGATAGTTGTAGGGAGAATTTTTAAGTCAAAGTTTCCATCGGCTTTATTAGAGCTGCTTCATAATACTTCTGATACTATTTTGAAAACAACTGCATTTCCTAATTACCCACGGAGTTGGTTCACTCTAATTTGCGATGGATTTGAAAGCTTAATGTATACAATTTTACTAGGGAGGATTGCGAATCAAATAACACTGGATGAATTTCACTCTTTTAAATATTCTCACCTATAAAACTATGAGTTTTTATGGGCTCCATTGAAGAAGCTTAAAGTGAAGTTGATATCCGGCAGATTTTCGGAATGTACACAATGGTCACTAAGGAGCTTAGCAGTATAGTATCTGATTCCCTTCAACACTGATTGACGCAGGATGGAGCCACCTAGGGAACACCAGTTGTCTCCTGGTTGCAGGTATACCGTATTGACGAGTGCCAACAGGCATTAATCTTAGGTGAAAGGTTTCCTGTCGATTGACTTCCAACATCTAACAGCAAATACAGAGTTCTTGCATTATCGCATTACTCAGGCTGGTGGCCATATTGGAAACTTGACTGGTAAACTTTGATCGTTGTTGACTGTAAAGGACTTTGGTGGTTACCCACTGGCGAACTATTCATGCATATTTTCTGTGTGTTGAATCGGTAAAGGTGATAACATTGACTTGACACGTCCTCTTGGAGATCTTTTGCAAAACTTTCTAATGTTTCTATAGTAGGTATTTCTCGCCTGTTAGTTGCGAAACACTACTTCTCTGTTGATATACGCGGAAACACTGTTTAATCCCAGGACGTAATAAGAATTGGCTCTTTGACCATTTCATGCAACAAGCTGCCTTACACCAATTTATGACTGCAAAGCATTGTCATCAAGAGTGGATTACTTCATTCATCCGTCTTTTAGAAACATTAAAACTGATCACACGCAGTAGTTATGTTAAATATAAGGTCTAAAGAGAGACTGATGAATCAGTTAATGTGCTTTTGAATAAGATATATGGGCCACTGTTTATGATGGTGTAAAGCTGTGGTTCATTGGTCTGAACACCAAACTTTCAACTCGTGGGTCAATAGTTCGAATCTCGCACCATCTACCAAGGTAGTGTCATTCATTTGCCTTCACACAAGAGGTATACTCCAGTGCCTACTGTACGAGCATGCAAGTAGTTGCTGGTAGCATTTTGATTTTGACAGTTAAGTGGTTCTATAGAGATTCAACCATAGCAAATATTTGTATAGTATCTTGAAACACTAGATGTACTTCGGGATGACATTCCAAATGCATATGGTCGGTGGATCATAGATAATCTTCATTGTTACCCATTTGATATCATTTTGTAGTAAGATCTGATTTTCGAAGAAATTTTAGATTATTTTAGTCACACTGTCAAAACATGTTTCTTACTGATACCCCTTTTCCCTATAGATATCAGATAGTCTTTCACGATGTCCACCTAATCATATGGGCAAGTCAGTCATCCCATTGACTGGTATAACTGATCGTCAATGGTCACAGATAAGTCGTATTGCTGCTTTACTTCAACAACAATACGCCAGTCGTCAAGCTACACTCCTGAAACGTTTAGATGTTACAGTACAAAGTTTTAAATGGTCAGATAAGGCGAAAGTGAGTTTAGTTTTCATATGTATGTAGGTTATCATTTTGTTTCTGTACATTATTTGCTGTGATGATGTTTATGTATGGATTGAGTAGTAGTAGTCGAATTGTGGTTCTCTGTAGAATATATCTTTCCAATTGTTGATCAGTTGATCGATTGTAATGAGTTTTACTTTCAATTGAAGAACCTAAGCATTCTTAACTTCTGTCTCCACTGCACCGTTTTTTGTACTGTATTTTTATAATGTTTGTAACACTGTGTTAACTTACAACTGTTTGAATTGATAGTGTTTATTGATGACCGTAACTATTTTCTCTATCTCAGTGATTACTAATCTTCTCTGTTTAAACTTGAATGTGATGACCGTCACTTGAAAAGTTATGATGTTATTCAATAAAATGTTGAATTGTAATAGATACTTCTATGTATTAGTAGGACATTTTATAGATCTGTTCGTTCAAATTCTGTGTTAATTCGTCTGCATGTTTGTGTACCTATCATTTGTTAATCTTATCTATTGACTTAAATAATCAATGTTCTAATGTGTTCAGAAGGTGCATTCATAACTGACCTGAACATGCTCCCTCCTTCTGCATTCTTCTGCTACTGTCCATTATCAACCTGGCTGTTAGCTGCTACCTTAATATGGTAGCCAGGCTCGTAAATAAAAGTGACCTAGCGAGTTACACTTGCTGGAACACTGGTTCTACCATGCTATCATGCCATAAAGTCTATTGGATAGTGGTAAGACAAGTACATTGCTATGCTATAGTGGGGACCCTAGGCCGCCGTCGGATTGCGAGCTAGATGGAGTGTAACAGCAGTGAGGTGTTTCTCTTAGATGACCAGCACTGCCACGCTGATGCAGCCTTCCCTATGGGAAGGGGAGGTTGCGAAAGCTTGGTAGGAGAAATAGCACACTTCTCCTGCCCCACGGTCTTTTAGTACTGGCAATATAGGTTTTCTCTATACTATGTTACAACAACCAGATCTCAAAACAGCAGTCTGTAAAACATTGTGTGTGACTAGCCTCATCCAGATGTCCCCATGGGCTCTGCGGTCAGGTAAATATTTTCCCCTTCCAAGTACCTCAAAAAGAAAAAGCCTTCCACGGTGTGCGCAGCTGAGGAAGTGATGACCAGTACGCTTCCTGTAATACACAATACCCAATCAACATGACCTTTCCCGCTCAACTCTGTCTCCTGCTTGGCCTTTGCCCCTCAATAATAATATTAAACCCCTTACCCGTTCCCCAACCTCTCACTCTGAGACGATTGACAACTATGAGAGCGATCGAGACCTCGTTCTTATTTTCTTAAGACTCCACCATCAATTTCATGTAGGATCCTTCAACGTCCGAGTTCTATGCCAAATTGGACAGTAAGTAAGGATTACTCGACAGAACTCTGGAATGTTGAGGCATGGATGTATGCTGTGTTTGTGAGACAGGTATTCAGACAGGACCGGAGTGTGATTATTAAATTGACCTCAGCTGACCATAGTAGTGAATCTTCAAAGTTTACCTTACGAGTATCCGGCGACCCAATGGCAATGGCTAGGTGTGGTGGACTCGGTGGTGTAGGTGTAGCATTGAGGTGTAGAGCAGAAAGCGCCCTCATCGATTGGACATGAGTCAACAGGCGTGTGTGTATATGCTGTTCGACCGTATAGATCTGTAAGAACTGGGAATGTTCGTGAGACTAGGTGATGCCTATTAATAATCTCGGCGTAGGCACTCGCCGACTGCAGTTTGGATGATGGAGATAATGAATTCTATGAGAGTCTGTCAAGTTTGCTGCAGAAAGCAAACCGTAGAGATATAGTTATGATGGTGGGTGACTTTAAGGCTTTAGGTAGGAAGTCTGAGCTGAGGCAATCGGAGAAGCATACTGGTGGTATGTACGGAATTTCATGCCAACGAACCGACAAGGTTGATCTTGTGTTTGCAGTTTGTTCTGACGATCAGTTGTTTGGGGCGAGAACTGATTTGAGGTATAAGGAGAGATAGTGTCTCATATGGCGTCTGCCGACATTGAACTAACGATGGACGTAGATGATCACATTGTTGTAAGCGGTCTATCGTTGAAGGATTGACGATCTTTGTGGAGTACTTGTTTGGAATACGATGACGCGTTAGTACGGACTCGTGTATGTCTAGGCCTTACCGGTCACGGGAAACGGTGGGTAGTGAGGCCTATCTATGCTGGATTGGAAGATAGGGATGTCAAGTATTTATATAGGGAGGAGATAGCTAAGGATTTATCTGAGAATGATAGCAATGGTCATGCTGAGGGGAGACCTGAGGTGACATTGTCTGCTGTAGAAACAGTGGTAAAGACAGTTGGTAACCTACACTGGAAGGTAATAAATGTGATTGGATTTTCATAGTGTTGTCCGAAATGATTGATGTGGGAATGCTGATTGGAGCAGGCTGTGACTGTGATGAGGAGTGAAAGCAACCTTAATTTAAAGTGAACAAGAGTCTTGGCGTAGATTGAGAGTAATGGTGGGTGATGAGAGCGAGAGAGATGGAGAAGGCCTCATTGTTGTGTAACACCTGGAAACTGTTTATGCTTACTAAGGATGCTGGTAAGAAGAGGACGATGGAGAGTGAAAGCATCACGGGAGAGGATGGGATGCTCATGGTGACTCAGTACATGTGACTAGAAGGTTAGCGAGAACACTTTGAAGCACAGTTCAACTGACTCCCAGAAATGCTTCAGTTGTCCATCATTCAGCCTGAACCTGAATGGAACATGGATGTTGGTCTCCGACTCTCGTGGAAGTTGAGGAAATTGTATTGAATGTGAAACGATGCAAATGAGCAGGACGTGACGTTTTTGTAGTCGATGGAGTGAGGAAATTGTTGCTTAAGTGACGAAGTTGTTGGCTAGTGTATGGAAGTGATGGGTAGTGTCGTCAGACTGGTATACTTCATAGCCTATGCGAAGGAATAGAGGTTTTGTTGTGACAAGGATGTAGGTTAAATTCGTTAGACTAATATTGTGTGCATAATTCTTGAGTTCATAGTTCTGGACACCTAACTGGAGTGGGAATACAGGGAACTGGAGAAAATGAGTCAGGTATGAGACTGAGCTGGATGAGGATGCATGGATCAGATCTTCACTATATGACAGGTTCTGGAACAGAGGTATACTTACTTACCGGTGGCTGACACTCGCCATATTCCTTGACCTACGGGAGGCATTTAACTTTGTCGATGTTGATTGTTTTGTCAGAGTATGAGTTTTGAGGGAATACCGAGTAGAGGTATAATCTTGTTATATTTCGCTCAGCTTTGTTAGGGCCGATGGAGTGTTGCCATATAAATTGACTACAACTAGTTGTGTTCGCCCGGGACCTGGACGATCAAGGTTGATATTTTTATATTCGTCATTTTCATAGTGATAGACGTAACCTTATGTTCGTCCGACTTCACTCGGATTGATCTCCCTACTACCTGTAGGCCATTGCGTTGACTTGGAGTATTCAGATATTGTCCTGCTAGGTGAATGTACATTCAAAATCCAGGATCTTTTGATGCGTTGAGCAGAAATATGAGTATGCTTGGTTGGGATGCCTTCTGTACCTGTGAATATAAGATGGTGGATGCTGCATGACTAGTCTGCAACCACTCCTGGTCTCATGCTAGGGAGCGAAGTGATGGAATCTGTCGACTACCTCACTTTCTTGGGGATTTGTATTAGCCTGCTGAACGGGGTGGTTGCTGATAAAATCTCAGTTCGGATGACTTGCGTCACCTGTGGCTGCATTTGGTGAGGCATCTGACTTTATATCAGCGAATGAGTTTACTGGTCTGCCGTCCATTCTGTCCTGTTGTTCTACTGTGAGACATAGCCATTAAAAGTAGAATATATGTGGCAATCAAAGGGTTTTAACCATAGATTTTTTTCGTAGCATTGCTCGTGTTTGGTGGAATCACCGTGTGAACAATGCTGAGGTCAGCTAGAGGATACTACGCAAGACAGGCAAGTTGATTGATGCGTTTGTGAACTTTAGTCGACTTAGATGGCTTGAACATGCACAAGCCGTGTCGCCGCCTACCTGGATGTGCAATACTAGGGGGAGTTGGATTATATTGGGATGGGTTCATAATGGCCAGACCAAGACGTGGCATCAGTCGATGAAGTCTTTTACTGTTGGTCTGAGTGGTGTGGGTAGATGTACACTGCCTGACTGGGTCCCCGAGAAGACAGCAATCAGTGGTTGAGGACTGTTGATGGAATGGCTGAAAATCGGTCACAATAGTGCAGATATTTTCAATCCTCGACCTCTTCTAATGCTTAAATATTTACACTCAACTTAATCTTTAAATTGTTGATTCTTTGATATCCTTCTTTATTGTGTCCACTTGTTATTTGTATACTTTTTGAAGTATGGCAACTTGTGTGAGTGAAGTTCCACGTTGATTTTCTCTGCCTGCCTCTATCATCAAATAGCATGATCATTTTACCGATATATAGGAATACTTAATTATGTATCCAAAGAGACCAAGTATCAACATAAGACAGTCTGTGTAATAATTTTCAATATTCTGACAAGATCTAATATTATTAGTTTTATACGCGATGCGATTCAGTACTAACCTATGCATTTTTTCTCATTTATTACCGTTTCTTTTTCAGTCTCATTTAGACCGTATCACTGCTGTTTATAATCCAATCAGAGCAAGGATGGGTCTATCCCTTATCCCAGTATTCCAGATGTTTTAGCTGTACGTGATAATATGATATTCCTGATTGAGAAGACAAGTGGTTCTAATGCACGTCGTTATACATCATGTGATTTAAATAAGATTCTTATTGGAAGAGTAAGTATTGATAATAAGAATTATATAGTTTATACAGGATTGATTTTTTATGTCTAATCACCTTCACAGCACGTAAGTTAAGCATGCCAATATCAGGTACAGGATTCTTCATACAGAGATGCTAAAAAAAGAATAATTCAATTTAGAGGTTTGTGGGGCGATTTATTTATTGATTTCAGGTTGATGTTAATCATAGACTGACATCAAGTGAAGAAACATTGGAAACTTGGGAGTACTAGACAGCTGTTTTCGTTCTAGTATGTGACTGTTCAGCAGTGCGCACCCATGAGCTTCAGGTTCTTCGACCAGAACATATCATTGAGCCACTGGGTCAAAATCCAATGGTCCATATTTCCTACTTTTGTCAGCTCACGATATAGCATGACCTCCACTCAGGCGATCGTTGAGCAACTGTCCTGGTGTTCGACTTCGTTAGCCCCACCGGTCATGAATTTTTCTCAAAAAGGAATAAGTTATGGTGCTTACAAATGTTCGGCCGATATCCTGTTTGGTGTATGATATTAGGTGAAATAGAATCAAGTTGTAAAAAACCCTACTTTTTTGAAGTGATTGGACATTAGTCTTAGGCGCGTTTCATGGTTTTAGAGTTTTCTTATCTGATTTTTCCTCTCTTCTATGAAGTTTTAGTTTACGTTCTTTTTAATAACTGGTTAGGATATGTATAACATTTTATGCTCACTTTATAGGTTCCTGATCGAGGTGGTAGAGCTTGGGAATTAGAACCTCCTCCACCTGAAATGCCTGCTTTTAAACAACGTCAGCCAGATAGTGGTGGTGGACAAAGAGGTGGTCGAGGCGGCGGTGGTTTCGGGGATCGTGGTAGAGGTCGCGGTGATGGTGGATATGGTGGTAGTGGAGGTGGTGGTAAGTATGCATCATTTTTATGCTCACAGCATACATAGACTATCTTATTTTCCTGAAATTGAGTATTGTTCCCTCGATTAATTGGTCCATCAAATTTTATCATTAGTTTATGGTTATATTATCTGATTAGCATGGTAGATATCAGCAACAATCACATGAGTATTACTGATATATAATATATCCAATAAATAATCATCTTTGCACTTCGATACACACTATGTTTTTTCTTTATTAAACGACTATTTTGTAAGCATAGATTCTGTGTTATTTCAGTTTCCTTGATAGACAGTTGGGTTATTAGTAAATCATATCCAAATATTTAGTACGGACAGTCAGTAAGAAATCACTGACTTCCTTCCTGTCTCATCTATTGATTGTCATCAACAGTGCATATGTACATCTTTGATAAAAATATCGGTTTTACTAGGATTGTTTTCCGCACATTACAACGCCATAATATGTGGTTTTAACCATGAGTTGTTTGAGTTGTAGGCCATTGTCTAAGAGATTTCGGTAGGTTTTCTATTATGCCCTTCAGCTTTAGTTGGCGTCTATGCATCAAAATTTATGTTCTGACTGATAGGTTTCAGTGAAATTAAGAAACTTAAGGTGTATAATACCTCTAATTAACTCAGATTAGCTTCCAGCATGAACTAATCTCGAAACTAAGGTTAGTAATTAGCTTTTCAAATCGATTGTACATTACCATATGCAATCTATTATTTATGCATTCAAATGTATTTCTGTGAATACAAGCATTCATCAGTGACCTACAGTTGACCTAAGTTGTACCTAAGCTTCCATTTACTATCATATTTAGTTAATGAGTTCTGGAAGTGTTGGGGTTAGAAACCACCAGAAGGTTACATGGTATTTGAAGGTGTCCCAGTAACTGTTTGTTCAAATGATGCCTTCACGGTGAACTTTGATCTCAGGACTTCTGATATTTAGTGATAGGTGATTGTTACAATTGAACTCTTGAATTTGTGTGGTCACTTTTTCGTAAGGTAAGCACAGTAATTACTTTTACTTCTATGTTGTTCTAGCGCAAGAAGCACTATTTTTAGCACTTACTCCATTCCAGCAGGATTAATTTATTCCAGAATTATCTAACATATACAATGTGTAGGTGGAGCTATCTGCTGACAGCTCTAAGCTAAAGCCTTCACAATTCTGGATGTTTCTATTCTGAAATGAAACCTGTTTTTAGGCTGCATATAATACAGTGAATGTTTCAGTTATCATAAACCGGCAATACCTCCTCTATACAAATCAAGAATATATTCAGAATGTTTATCTACTTTTTTCCATGGTTTGTTATGTCATCCTTCCTTTGATTTCCAGTTATAAAAATGCGTCACCATCAGTGTATGCTTTTTCGTTATTTTCACTCCTTTAAAGTTCGGACTAGTTCGATTCGCTTTAATGTGTGTGTGCGTGTGTGTGTGTGTGTGTGTGTGTGTGTGTGTTATCAAAGTAATTTACTCATAGCATGGTTTAATGGTAACGAAAATTGAAATTAGACAGTTGAGTATCCTACGAGGTTTTCACCGTATATACCAAATGATGATTGAGCAAAATCCTATTGTCTAGCTATATAAG